ACCGGTCTTCCTAAGGCGTTTTAACATATAGGGCCCTATTTCATGACGTCAATTTCCAAACGCCTACAAGAAGTCATCAGGGTGACATAGACAGCCGTCCACAAGGCATCCATTTCTATGGATGTGAAAATGTAGTCCTGCGTTGTCTGCTACGAGTTCCGGCGCAACAGAGCTGTTTTGCTCTGCCTGTTTTGGCCCAGTATTAGATTATGTTCGCACTTATTTTCAGTCTTACCGAAGTCGGGTTTGTAGGGTAGCCTCTCTTCAGTCCGTATATACTCCTCCTTTATCCCGGGTTCCTACCGAACCCTACAGTAGTCATGGTGTTGTAAATACCCATGCTCACTTTACAGCGTGGTTTAGAACTCTTAGTAGGTATTATTTAGCGCAGTATTTGAGGTCGTGCTCGTTTTTAAGTCTTGCCCACACTTTTATGAGGATTGAGCTACGTAATTACCGTAATATTGGACTTGTTTGTTAATCAGTCAGTCGGTTGTTTCATAAATGGAGACCAGCTTGGTCGCTATTAAATTTGGAAAATGTTTTAGCCTAGTTTTAACCATCTGCACTGGCCGCATGGGGTGGAATTTTACGATTTATGTGTTCTGTAGTCCACACGTTTACTCCACCATGTCGGATGTGGAGATGTTCAATCAAATCCCTCAGGCCTTGAACCTAAGCTTAATTCAATAGTGATCAGCCGCCGGACGTATTATTCCAACATATTGGTCGAATGCCTCGTTCATACAGGTGCTGCCTATTTTGGGAGGCTCCCGGTAGAATTGAAGGTAGTCAGCTACCGGTTCCGGTAAACATGATCGGGTCACAAGGGTCTACCTACAGGCGGCATCTGAGCTTTCGGAAGAGTTTTCTGCGCCCTGCTCGTATATCTTTATTGAGAGATCCCGACTGGTACACAAACATCGAAAGTGAGTGTAAAATGAGCTTAGCATGTTCAAGCCCAACTTGAGCGCTGAAGACTTTCGAGTGAGAACATTTCTCGTGCCTCTTATCATAAGGAAGTGTTTTTCGGCCGGTTGACGCACATTATTTAGGGTTGGATGGAAAGTAGCTTCTGCCATTCTGACCATTACGTGAAAAGTCTCGGAGTTGTCTTGACCTCACGGAACTCTATTTCTGAATAACCTTTCTACTGAGATTTGTCAGTAGAAAGCTCCGCATATTTCCAGTACCGAGGTGAGGGATGTCACGTTTATCTTCTCCGTATGCTCACACTCGACTTGTCTGGCGCCGGGGCAAGAGGTCCTTGGTACTATCATCAGTAATTTAAAGATGTCAGTATAAGAACTATGCAGATTGTGTGGTTGTGTGCTAACAATTTTGACTTAGTACTGGTGGTGAGGCGTGGTTATTGCAGACTTTTTTCAGAAAGTGTTCTCCTTTCATTCGAGAGAGAAGCAAGTTTTATTTTGAAGATAACATACAAGATTTCCAGCAAAAATGCTTGCATTAACTGAGACCACGGGAAAAATTAACAAAATACTCACCAAATGTAGAGGTTTACATCAAAAATACATTTGTTAT